GGAAGCGATTATAAACAGGCAACCCAAGTCACCTCCTTAAAGAGAAAGTAACAATGCTGTGACAGTCATTAAACGATGGGTGGTGGTGGGATTTGAACCCCGGGCCTTACCCTGAACCAGGGTGGCCATCTACACTTGAGCAACTTCTGCTCTTAGTTTTTTAGACAGGGGCTTGATCATTCCACCTGCTTCTGAGTGGCTGAGATTACAGGCGTGTGCCACCACACCGTGCCCCATAAAGGATATTGGAGATCTGTTCATTTTCTCCAGGTCACCTCTGCTCTGAGCTGGGATTCTGGGCCTGGGTCCTCCCGGGGTTTATCCCTCCTGACCTGGGGCAGCTGGGGACTGAGTCCCTAGGGGACACAGGGCTCCGGCCTCCCCCGAACCCCAGCATCCATGGTGGGGGGGCTCATCACACTGAGGCTCCCGTCACAGCGTTGAACACCTAGAAAGTTGGCCTTACAGGATGGCTCTCCTGGCTTAGACCTGCTGTGTCCGCCATCGGGAGGCTGCCGTTGGGAGGATCGCAGGCGGAGGTTCACACAACCTTGTCTCAATGAAGAGCTGTGGTGATGAGAGCCGGTGACCCTCACCACGGCCTGGGGAGCATGCCCAGGGGTGCCCGGTGTAAAAGAATAGGCAGCAAACCCCAGGGCTGGAGGCAGGGTTTGACCGCAGAGCACCTGCCTTGCGCACTTGAAGCCCCGAGTTCAAACCCCAGAACTTGCTGAGTATGGCGTAGCTGTGCTGAAGATCTCCACGCTGTTCTAAGATGTTTAAAACAAAACCCGGCCCTCATCTGGTCTAACCCCAGCTTTGAAGTCACGTGGGAAATGCCCCCCCCCGCCCCATGGTGGACAGTGCGCGTTAGGGGTGCTGAGGGGGGGCTTGGCTCGCTTTGGCTCGCTGGTTCTTTTCCTACTCTGGGTTCCTATGTGGCGCACCCCCCAGCGGGGCCTGCGGACCCCACTCCTACGAGAGCCCAGTGGACTCCAGCAGCGTTGGCCGGTGCCCACTTGGTCCTTGACTTCAGGCTGGGCGTGGCGGTTCATGCCCTTAGTCCCGGAGACTTGATCGGGGGGGATCGCCCGTCAAGGCCAGTCAAGGCCGGACATTGGCCAGACCCCATCTCAACGTACAAGCCGGGTGTAACGGGGCCCATCGGCCATCCTAGCTGCGTGTGAGGTAGCAGTAAGGTCTAGGATGGCCTCCGAATAAAAGCAAGAATCTTCTGGAAAAGCCCCGCAGCCTTCCAGCGAATGGCTGGGGTGTGGCTCCAGCGGCACACAGGTGCACTCTGTCCTGGGCAGGGACTGTTTTCCGGCTGGCGTAAATCCAGAGGAGGTGGAGTGGGGGGTGACCCGGGGGCGGGGAGCCGAGTGTTTTGGGGTGCTCAGTTAGAGTCCAGGGCGGGCGTCCGCCGTCTTGTTTATGAAATGCCACGGCAATCGTGGCCACGTCTTTTGTTGGTGACGTCCCCCGGCTGGGGCCGGGGCCTGGACCGGGGTGAGGAGTGGCCATGGCTGTGTTCCAATAAAACTTTATTTATAAAGCCAGGTGGGCAGCAGGGCGGGGCGCAGCTTGCAGGTGACCCTTTACTAAACCGGGATCTAGAGAGGACAAACGGGCGGACTGGGAGGGGAGGGGAGGAAGGAAGGAACACAGAGACCGCACGAGGGTTTCCTGCCCATGGTCAGCCCACCCCAAACAGCAGGACCCACAGGAAGGAGCCGGAATGAAGTTGTCACATTCTTCCTGTGACCCCCAAGCCCCATGCGGCCCGGGCACCAGGGGTGGCAGTGTGGGGCCTGCTTTTTGGAGGAGTGGGGGGTCTCAGACAAAGCTGCAGGGAGCCCCCCCCCGGCCCCCGATCACCACTGTGCAGCCCCAGACTCCTCCGAGTGTCTCAGGCCGGACCAGGGGGCGCTGCCTGTAGTCCCAGACTTCCTGCCCTCAGCAGCCCTTCCTTGGCGCTGGTTGTGTTCAGGGTCGTGTTGTGTGTGGAGTGGGCCCTGCCGAGCCGGAGGCCTGGGGCGGAGCTCAGGCCAGCCCCCAGCTCCTGCCGGGCTGTCACCGTCCAAGTGGAAGGATGGGAGGAGCTGGGTACGGAGGACCCAGGGATAGTGGACATCACGTGGATGGGTGGATAGCGAGACCCAGCCAGGGGCCCCCCGAGACCCCATCTCAGCCCATCAGCCGGGTGTGGCAGCTCACACCTGTCGTCCCAGCTGTGTGGGAGGCCCAGGGGGGAGGATCGCTGCCGGAGGCCATCCCTAGACGAAATGCCGATGCTCCCTGTGAAAGAAAGAAGGCCTCCGAGGGGGGGCCCAGAGGCCTGGCTCCCGGGGTAGAGCATCTGCCTAGCAGACGGAGGCCCTGGGTTCAGAGCCCAGCACTGCACTCGTCCGGGCATGCGTGTGCAGGCCGTGGCGGGGCCCTGCCGCCGGCCTCCACGCCGTGGCCTCCGTGGCGCTGTCCCCTGTGCGTCACGGATGTATTTAGCAGGAGGAGCGAGGCCAGCCCGGAACCGGCAGCAGCTGGCCGCGCCGCGCGTGGGCCCCTGGCGTTCGGCATGAACATATGCCAGGCTCCCAGAGGGGGGGCGGCGGGCCCGTGGGGAGGCCGTTCCCGGGCACAGCGCCATCCGGTGGGGGGGAGGGAGGCAGGGGGTGCCAGAGCCCCAAGACCCCTCCCCGGAGATGCAGCCTCCCCGTGGGCCGGGCTCCTCAGGGCTCTGGGGTTGTCTGCGGCCCTGACAGGCCTGGTGGGGGCACGGGGGGGGGTCAGCGCGAGGGGGGGTCAGCGCGGGGCCCGCGCGGTCTCCGTGGCCGCCCCTGCGCCCCGTGCCGCCTCTCCCGAGCCCGGAGCGCCCCCTTGTGGCAGGACGGGGGCAGGCCGGCCGGGGCGGCTCTGCTGGGCAGCGCGTGCTCGGTGCCCGGCCGGCCGCACAGCTCGCCCGAGGCCCCGGGGCAGGACTTGGTATCTTCCCGGAGTGGAGCTGGCGGGCGTCACCCATCCACTCATCCATCCACTCATCCATTCATCCGCTCGCGCGTGTGCGCCTCCATTCATCAGTGGAGCATTTGGTGATGGGAGGGACAGTGTCCCAGTAAACGCTCCTCCCGATGCCGGAGCTGTGGCCTCCGCATCTGGGAGATGAGTCCGCATCTGGGAGGCCCTGTCTGTCTGTCTGGCAGCCGAGCAAGGGCACCCCTTGAGGGGTCCCTGGGGGGGGGACCGCCATCCCCCCTTCCCGACTGTGAGTGAGGACCCTAAGTGTGCAGTGTAGCAGCCGTGTGTGTGTATGTGTGTGCGTGCGCGCGCACGGTGTGAGGCTGTGTGTCTGCAGAGCGGAAGGAGTGTGCGTCTCGGAGCTGGAGTCGGTGCCAGCGGCCGCGCAGAGCCGGAGCGCGCGCTCACCGTCTGTGCCCGCCCTGCCGGCAGGCAGTCAGGGGACCGAGCCGTCCCCGGTGCCCCCCAGCCCCTGCTGTGCCCCGGGAGCGCTGACCTGAACTCCCTCCGCCTGGCTCCCCGTGTTCCCTGACCCCCGCGTTCCCCTGCTCTGGTAAGTGGGGCGCCGCCCGCTCGGGCCGGGCGTGGGGCGCGTGGTGCCTGGGCACTGGGGGCACCGCTGGCCCTGCCAGGCGGCTTCCCCAGTCCCCCACGGCAGGTCCCCTGGGCTGGGAGACTCCCCGGGCGGCGATCGGACCACACCCAGCTCTCCGGTGCCCAGGCCGGTGCTGGGCCCGGACGCTGGACGCCGTGGTCACCAGCCGGGGACTCCGTGGATGGAGCCCTCCTTGCGCAGCGTCTCCGGGCTGTGTCTGGGCTGGGGGGAGATGGAATCCGTCAGCATCACAACATAAAAATATCCCACTCCGTCTGCCTCTCCTCCCGCAGCCCCGTGAGTCAGAGCTGAGGCTGGGCTCAAGGAAAACCCCTTCTCCTTTCCCCGGGCACCAAAGATGGGGAGCTGGGGAGTGGGGGCAGCCGGAGCTGCGGGGGGGCATGCTCAGTTGTCTGTCACATTTTAGGAGCAGAAGAGACTTAGAAATCCTGTTCCCAAAGGCAGGACTGAGTGGGTCAGGGTTGGAGGTGGAGTTTCTGCTGTGTGATTATGGAAATGCTGGGCCATCTCTCTGGCCCCCTTTCCTCCGTCCCCCTCTGTGAGCCTGCGCTGGGGGACCCAGAAAGCAGGGCAGCCAACCCGAGATGGTTCAACACCTGCAGACATAGAAAAGTTGACAGTTCGCTGGGCGCCGGTGGCTCACGCCTGTCATCCTAGCCACTCAGGAGGCTGAGATCTGAGGATCGCGGTTCAAAGCCAGCCCGTTCAGGAAAGTCCATGAGATCCTGATCTCCAATAAACCACTAGAAAACCAGAAGTGGTGCTGTGGCTCACGCAGTAGAGCGCTCGCCTTGAGCTGAAGAGCTGAGAGGACAGTGCCCTGAGTTCAAGCCCCAGGATAGACCAAAAAGAAAGTGACAGCTTTTGTTTTGTGAAGTTTGGAAGGATGGAGGAGGGAAGATGGGAAGCGGAGGGGCAGCCTGGTGGGGCGTGCGGTTGGGGCCTATGTATGAGCTACCAGACACCCTGGGGTTCCAGAAAAGCCTGCTTCACATTGCTGTGTGAGCTGAGGCTGGCCACTCACCTTCTCTGTGCTGGGTGCTCTAGGCAGGGAAGGAGGCTCGGCAGGGATCTGAGATGTGGGTATGGAGTAGAAGAACAAGTGCATGCCCCCCTCCCCACATTATGTGAGGAGAGTACACTTCCAGCATAGAGGCGGACCTGGGTTCGAATCCCAGGTTGCCTCTTGGTTGCTGAGCCTGCTCAAGCCCTCTGCTTTGCCTCTCTGTGCTGATTCCTGCTCTGCTGGACTGGAAAGGCCTGGAGAACTTGGGTGCCTGTGGGAGGAGGCTCCCCCCCCCCCGGCTCCCAGTCAGGATCCAGGGCCCAGGGCCCAGGGCCCAGGCCTCGGGTTCCATCCCGGGCCTGCATGGCGGTGGCCTCTACATCCCTGTTCTTTCTCTTTTTCCTTGTGGGTGTGAACAGTCGCCTGTCCGCTTGTGGTGTCCTCGGAGCCCATGGGTCTGCTGCGGTCGCCATGGTGGAGGTGGGCTCTCTCCTCACGGCGGTGCCCGGCCTCCACGACTTCGCCAAGGACGAGGCCCTGAAAAGGACGTACTTCTACCCGGCCGGGGACCCCGCCAGGACCCCCTCGGCCTGCATCCTCAGGACCCCCGCCCGCTGCTTCCCGCTGCCTCGACTGACCCCCAAACCCTTCTCCAAAGAGCAGGGCCTCCGCTGGGGAGCCCCTGGCCCGTCCAGGCCTGGTCCCGCCGGGGTCCCCCAGGCAGCCTCGCAGGGCCCGGACGGCAGGATGCCCAGCCTGGCCGGGCAGGAGGTGGGCGGCGGGGAGGCCGCCCGGGCCGGCTCAGCCTCCCCTCACAAGGCCTCCGATCTGCGCCTGGACACCCACATTGCCGGTCCCCCGGTGGGGACGGGCACCGGGGAGCCATGTCTGGGGACCCGCGCAAGTGTCCCCTGCAATCCTCCCTGCAGCTCCAGGCCCCAGCTGGCCACCAAGCCGGCCTTGCCCACTCACAAGCCCCCCGGGAACCTCCCCCGGCCGGCCTCTCTGTCCCTGGACGCCAGATTGGCTGACCCCCAGCACGAGGAGGAGGGCCATGCACCTGGGCCCCGGCTGCGACCCAGGAGGAGGCCCGTGTCCGCCGTCTTCACCGAGTCCTTGCTGCTTCCTGGGCCAGGCCCGGGTGGGGCAGCCCTCGGGGGGAAGCCGCCCCCCGCCCCTCCCGAGAAGACCTGGGTCAGGAAGCCCCGGCCCCTGTCGGTGGACCTCACAGGCCGCTTCGAGAGCAGGGAGGTCCTGCTGAGGAGGGGCGCCGGGCCCGAGCGCCGGGCCACAGAAGGGGCCAGTCCTGAGCCCACAGTGGACAGGCCAGGCACCGTCCCAGCGGCTTCTTCCCGGCTGGACCTGGACGCAGATTTCTGGGAAGTGGCCAGGAAAATCCAAGACCGGAAGGAGAAGATGCTCTTGAAGCAGGCAGAGGCAGACAGCCCCAGAACCCGAGGGGGCCATGCCAGGGCCATCTCGGGAGGAGACCAGAGTCCTCAGGAAGAGAAAGACCGGCCGGACCCTGAGCCCGAGAAAGTGCCTGAGTCCCCTCCTGTCTGGCTAGGAAGAAGCCCGGGACCCGCCGAGGCCAAGAGCAAAAGTGCTGACCGGGAGGCCTCCGTGGGGGCAGAGTGGGTGCCCATGCGCAGCGTCAAGAAACGTCTGAGCCTGTTTGGGGAAGAGAGGGCCTTGGCGCCGGCAGCAGGTTCTGAAGCCACCGTGGCCACCCCCGAGGTTCCGCTGGCAGCACCGAAGTTGGCGAAGGCAGGTGTGAGTGTCCAGGAGCGGATCAAAGGCTGGGCAGCTGAGAGTGCCGAGGAGAAGGTGGAGATCAGGAAGAGGGCGCTCCAGGCTCGGCCGAGGTCAGCCGATTTGACCAAAGTGTAAGTGCTGACACACACACCCTCCGTGGATGGTGTGGGAACCGATGAGCAGAGCCTGGGTAGCCTGGGTGACCCCCTGCCTGCCTCCCCTCCCCGCCCCTCCCTCCACGTCCGAGGCCTTGCCTGGGAGTAGGCTGAGGACTCCCAAGTTGTCCAGGATTAAAATGCCAGGAACCCGGGCCTCCTCAGCTGCACTCCAGGGCAGCCCATGATGTGCTAGCCAATCAGCAGATGAGCCTGTAATATGCTGGCCAATCAGTGAATAATGCTGTGACATGCTGGCCAATCAGTGAGTAAGCCCATAAGATGTTGGCCAATCAGCAGCGGAGCCCACAGTATACTGGCCAATCAGTGCCAAAACCCCTAACACGTTGGCCAAGCAGGGAGTCCTGTTGGTTGGCGATGGTTCTAAGCCTGGCTGGCCTCTGCCTCCCCTGCCCTGTTTCCCTGGGTGTCCTCCCGCCCAGGAGCAGTGTCACCGCATAGTTTGTTCCGGGAGGGGCAGCCTGCAGGGCCCACGTCAGACCCTGTTAAAATCACACAGGACCACCCAGTTCTCCCACCCCCCCTGACCCTCCACGAGGCCCTGCCTCAGTTTCTCCTGGGAAGGCTAATATTTTGGTAAGTTTTTAAAAGCACCGCTGAGCTCAAGACGGCAAAGACGCGGAACCTCTGTCCTGGGGACCCTTTGCCACTGTGCCTTGTGTGCCCGGGGTGGGGGGGGCAACACATGGGATTGTGTGACAGATGGGGAAACCGAGGCTCCAGAGTGAGCTCCAGCCTCTCAGCCCCACGCCTCCCAGGAAGCTTCTTCAGCCATGTACCCCAGAGATTCTAGATCTCTCCCCCCTCCATTTATAACTGGGTCAGATGAGACAGACACTGGCTTGACCCCGGTCACCCAGAGTGGCAGGGACAGCACCCCCCGACATCCCTCTGCCCCCGTCCCGTCTCCGGCCAGTGTGCAGACCAGGAAGAGTGGGCGTCTGGCCGGGCCCAGGGTTGCTAGGGAGAACCATTCATTATCTCTCCCCAGGCATCTTTAGTCTCTCCCGGACGCCTCCACGTAGCTATTAGGGTCACGGGTAGCCTCGTATGGAGGAGAGTGGGAGGTGCTAATTATCCCCAGTTTATAGAGAAGGAACTCAGGTGAGGTCACACGCCCCGCCGAGCTCCCACAGTGAGAAGCAGCTGGGACCGGCTCCCCTGAACCCCCGCGGGTATCTCCCCCGGGGCCAGCCCAGGGTCCCTTCCACGCCAGAGATGCTCTGCTTACGGTAAAAAAGGGCACCGCCTTCTTCTCCACAAGGAAATGGGGGTGGGGGTGGGGCAGTGTGGTTTATGGACATCCTGGTATCTTTCTTTCTCCCTTGGGCCCCTGAGCTCCTGGAGATCTTTGGGCTAAGGGGCCTCACAGCTTCTGGTTCCATCCATCCATCCACGTATGGACCTTCATCTCTGTCTCAGGTTTTCAAGTTCGGCTCCCAGCAGCGAGATCAGATATGAGAAATGTGCTGCGCTGGGTGGAGAGCGGAGAGAAAAGGTAAGCCGTGGGTATTTTCCCACCGCTTGGTTCCCAGGGTGAGGTGATTCCTGTGGACAGAGAGCAACTGTGACCTGGGAGACCTCACGCCGACTCTCGCGTGAATGAGAGGTCACCTCTTCCTTCCACGTTGGGACGCTCTCCCTCCTGGTGTCAAATTCTGTCCGCAAATGAAACTGTCGTGTATTTCTCTTTTCTGTGTGCAAAGAAGAGGAACGAGGCCGTGTTAGGAGCTCCTGTGTTGTTTTGATTTTTGCCACTACTGAGGTTTGAGCTCCAGGCCTTGCACTTCCTGGGTAGGCGCTCTACCACTTGAGCCACGCCACCCACTCGTATTTTTGCATCAGTTATTTTCAAGGTACAATCCTGCTTTACCCTTGGGCCAGCCTGGGCTGTGGTTCTCTTCCCCGTGTCCCCGGGGATGACAGGCTTATGCCACTGTGCCCAGCCATGGTGCTGCTCTCAGAGCTGAGCGGACAAGCACATACCGCCATGCTCAGTCATTGGTGGAGATGAAGTCTCTTGAATTTGTGATCACCAGATGGCTCACAAGCAGGATCCCTGACCTCCCATCTCCCAAGTAGGTACAATTACAGGCTTGAGCTACCTCTCCCGGCTGAGCTGCTGTTTTCATTACACCACTAAACCTTAGCTTTAGAATGTTCTCTCCTGTTCCCTTCTTAATGATTGTTTAATCCTCACCTCAGTTTGCCCATCAAGAGAAAGGAGTTGAAAATATTTCTCTCTTGCCTGTTCAATAACAAAGAACTTGCAAAATAACTGCTTGGTATAACTGGTTTGTGGTTGATGTTTCGGCAGTTTAAATTCTTTTTTGGGCAGCTTTATTAGCCGGGAGCAGGTGGCTCACACCTGTAATCCTTCCAGGGAGGTGGAGATTCGGAGAGTTTGCAGTTCCAGGCCAGGTAATGAATGAAAGATCCCATTGCAACAGCCTGGCCCGTAGGCACGTGCTTGTCACCCCAGTGACGTGGGAAGAATAAATAGGCAGATAGTGATCCAGGCATCTACACAGAGTGACATTTAAAAACAATACAGGAAAAAAGGACTGGAGGCGTGGCTTAGCAGAAAAGGCCTCCCCCCTGCTTCCCCATAGGGGCGTGGCCTGCCAAGGGACTTCCATGTCCAATAGGGAGCCAGCCATGAGTTAAGGGCGTGGCCACTACACAGGGGTGTGGCTTCCTTCTGGGCGTGATTCCTGCAGGTGTGGCCATGCAGATAGGACGTGGCTTTATTGTGGGGCGTGGCTCCAGCCGGGCTGTGGCCATGCAGATAGGGTATGACTGTGGCAGGGGTGTGGCTATGCAAATAGCTGGCATGGCCCAAGTGGCAGAGTACCTACCTGGCAAATGCCAAGGCCCTGAATTCAAAACCTAGTAAGTACGGGTGGGCGCTGGTGGCTCACGCCTGTCATCTTAGCTTCTCAGGAGGCTGAGATCTGAGGGTCGAGGTTCAAAGCAAACCTGGGCAGGTAAGTTCGTGGGTCGCTTATCTGCAGTAAACTACACAGAAAACCGGGGGTGGTGCTTTGGCTCAAGTGGTATCCTTGAGCCAAACAGGCTCAGGGACAGCGCCCAGGCCCTGAGTTCAAGCCTCAGGAACAACACAACAAAATGCCAGACCTAGCACTGTCTAAGTAATCAAAGAAGTTATATAGGCAAACGTCAGCCATTAGATAAAATGCGATGACGTCGCTCAAGGCCTGCCGCATTGTCACCTGGCCCCGAGCCCTCACCCGCACTCCCATGCGGAGCCTTTGGTGTGTTAGGGGCTCCTGGTTTTTGCAGGAAAAGCAACCATTTCTGCCTCCAGGCCTCTTCCTCTCTGGTCCTCTAACACTGCCGTGTGCTCTTCCCCAGCAGAAGATGGAGAACATCCCCACCCCACGAAGCCCCTGGAAGCCTGGGGACCCCCAGAAGGCGTCCAGACAGACAGAGTGCCACGCCGGCTCCAGCCGGGACCCGGACAGCCCTGGGCAGGCTTCTCGGGTCTCCCCTGAGGGCGAGGGAAGCTTCCAGACGGTGTGGGCCACTGTGTTTGAGCACCACGTGGAGAGGCACTCGGTGGCTGAGCAGGGCGCCCACCTCCCAGCCTGCCTCTCGAGTCCCAGATCCAGGCCTGAGGGTGGATCGTGGCTGCGCAAGGACCCACCGGCGGGCCAGGCTGCGCTTTCTGACTGTGTTCCCGGACCGTGTCCCGCGCCAGCACCGGAAAAGCCGACGGTGGGGGACAGCCGCGGCCAGGCCCCCCTCCCCAAGCACCCGGCCAGTCTCCCCTGGGTGCAGAGGGTGGAGCCCAGGCTGGACATCGTGCATGCCATCGGGGACAAGGCTCACAGCGAGGCAGTGGCCACGGCTGTGGGGGACAAGGCGCTGACCCTGCGCAGTTCCAGGCCCCGGCGCTCGCTGCAGGGCCGGCGGCTGACCCAGGAGGTCAGCCCCGCTGCCCCCGAGGACGGGCCCGAGGCTCCGGTGGGCGCCGTGCACAGGGCCAGTTTGATTTGGGAGGCTCGAGGACAGGAGAGCATCGGGCCGAAGCTTGACTTCCAGGAGCCCGGGGCCGCCCCAGGGAGCAGTTGCTCGGCACCCAGGTGGACCGGCGGGGCGGGGGCACCTTGGCACAGTACCGCGGTGGCCCGCGCCCAGGAGCCCTGCTCTCGCCGGGACATCTCCACCAAGGTGGCCCAAGCCACCCCTTGGGAGGCCCAGCGCCAGGGCCCGGACGGGGTTGGGCACAAGCCTGGAGCCGACCGGGCGCCAGCTCAGGGTGGCACCCCAGAGCCTCTGGCCTGGAGCAAGGACCAGGCCTGTGAACCCCAAGCTCGAAGACATCCAGAGACCAAGGAGCCCCTCCCAGCTGCCTCGGAGGGCGACCCTCCGCCGGCCTGGGGGCCAGAGCCCGGGGTCAAGCTGCGGAAACCCCACCCCGGGGACCCCAAAATGGACAGGTGGAGGCGGCGGACTCTGCCCCACGACACCAAGTTCGATGTCTTCCACTTCCTCCCCCCAGAGAACTCGCACAAAGCGGAGCAGAGACGAACAGGCCCCCTGTCCCCCCCGGCGGGCGCCCCCCAGAAGCCCCCGGAGCCGCGGGGGGTGACCGCAGGCCCCTCGTGGTCCCCCGCCTCGCCAGGGCCCCTGGGGTCACCCGGCGAGCCCCCGGCCACGTTTTTTGCCGTGACCTACCAGATTCCTGATACTCAGAAGGCGAAGAGCATGGTGAAGTTGGGGCTTGAGAACTTGCCGGAACATTCTCGAAAAACAGCCCTGGCTGCGTCCCCTCTTGCTTTCCCTTCTGCTGTGGTTTCTCCAAGTCAGGAACAGCCCTCGGGGCCCCCGGGCAGCAAACCCCGGGCTCAGGGCAACGGAGGCGACCACGCCACCACGGCGCCCAAGGCTAAGAAGGCCACGGAGCGTCCCTGGTCCGTGGGGGACGGGGTTCGGGACTGGGCCGGGGACAGGCCGCTGGCCATGGGCGCTCTGTGGATACCCCCGGGCTTGCAGGACGGCTCTGCACCCCCAAACCCCAAGAAAGACAGCTGGCATCAGGGGACCCCGAGCACCCCGAGTGGCCCCCAGGCCTCTCCTGACCCGAGAAGCCAGTGGCAAGCCGGCGGGCAGCCGGGCAGGAGGAAGACCAACGTGATCAGTGACACTTTCCCTGGAAAAGTGAAAGATGCCTACAGGCCCAGCGTCCTCGACCTTGACGCCCTGATGGCCGAGTACAAGGCCAAGACCGCCAGCGCCGCCGGCCAGCCCCGGGCCCCGCCGCCCAGCCCCACGGAGGAGGCCGGCGCCTGGCCCCCGGAGAGGCCGGCCCGGCCCGGCGGCGTGGCTCCCGAAGCTCGGGGTGCCTGGAAACGAGCCAGCGTGGCCCAGATGGCAGACAGTCCCACCTTTGGCCCCAACAAGCCGCAGATGGGGGACCCGGGGCCCCCCAAGTTCACCTCGCCCTTGTGGGGCCCGCCCCTGTCCGTTCCCGCCCAGGCCGCTTCCAGCCCCCCGAGGAAAGTCTCTGCCCTCACCCAGGAAGGACAGGGCGCGGTGGCGACCATGTCCCAGAGCCAGCCGGCCGGGGCGAAGCCCCCTGGCGGGGAGGATGCGGCCAGTGGGACCCGGGTGGCCCCCAAGTCACCCCCCGCCATCACCCCACGGACACCCAGCAGGCGGGGGCAGGGGGACGGCCTGGCCCCGTGGAGCGGCCCCCCGAGTGAGCCCAGAAGACCGCTGGATGTGAAGGGGGCCTGTTCCGAGAAGGGGCCCCCTGCCAGGGTCCAGGAGGCCGCGCAGAGGTGGCCCGAGCAGCCGAGGGGGAGGCCCGGCCTCCCCCCAGAGCGGCCCGAGGCCCAGGCGGGGCCGTGCCGGCGGGAGCCCCCCACTCCGGACAGCCAGCCGGTGAGTGTCCAGCCTCTCAGGTCCCCCAAACTGTAAAGCAAGTGGAGGGGCCTGCTGGGCCTCTGCGGGTGGGGTGGGGGGATTGTAGCGGATGGAGGGTTCAGGTCCCGCGGGACGCAGCACCCGCTGCTCATTGGCCAGGTCTCCACGTGTGACCATGGGGGCGCAGAGCTGGTGGGTCTCGTTTACTAAGAGAATCTGAAGCCGGGCACAGCAGTGCATGCCTGTAATCCCAGCTACCCAGGAGGCAGAGATCCGGAGCACCGCACAGACCAAGTGTGGTGGGCACAGCAGTGGGCTCAGGACGGAGGTGTCTCTAAAGTCGGAAGTTGGGGGCGGTTGGGATTCAAACCCGCGTCTCCCCGGGCAGAATCTCGCCCTCTTGTCCCGAGTTGAGCAGAGGGGGAGGCTCATGCCTCTGGCCTCCTGCGCGGGGTCCCACCCTGCTCCGGGGTGCTGTCCTGGGAGCAGACGGAGAAGGAAGAGAGCCTGGAAATGGGTCCCTGGGCCCAGCCTCTCACTCACCAGGCCTGCCCGCCGCCTGCCGCATCTCCCGGTAGGAGCCCAGGCCCAAGCCCTCCATCCGCGATCCTCCTCTCTCTGCCTTCCTCACAGCCGGGATTACAGGGGGTGCTGCCCAGCCCGGCTTGCTGACCGAGACGAGGTCTGGCTGGCTTTTCCTGCAGGCTGCCTTTGTCTGAGCCTCTCCTGCTCTCTGCCTCGTGGGCTGTTGGGATTTACAGGTGTGAGCGAGTCTCCCTGCCCGGCCCACCCTCACTCTTGGGAGAGGGGTTCTGAAATCATGCCGTGTTTTGGGAGTGTACATAACCAGAGACCCCTTCCTTCTCTTCCTCCCTCCCTCTCTCTCTCTTCTTCCCACCCTCTCTCTCTCTCCCTCCCTCCCTCCCTTCCTTCCTTGCTTTCTATCACCACAGAATTTTCTTCCCCTCCCTCCCCACAAAGGCTGTGTGGGCCGAGTGGCTGGGTCCTGGGTGGCAGGTGAAGGGGACACGTGCGTGTGCGTGTGTGTGTGTATGTGTGCACGCGTGTGCGTGCCAGACCTCACCCGCCCCCACCGGCTGGAGGCCCCTGTGTGATTTCTGGGAGCTTCCAAGAGCCAATTCTTGGGCTGGAGATCTCTGCTAGCTACAGACTTCCACCTGCCTTTCTATTTTCTTTTAAAAATGTTCACATGATGATGCGTTTTAGACAATGCCGGGTTTAACCCCGGAAAGCCTCTGTGTGCTCTCTGTCTCTCTCTGTCTGTCTGTCTGTCTGTCTGTCTCTGTCTGTCTGTCTGTCTCACGGTGCCAGTCCTGGAGCTTGAACTCAGGGCCCCACGCTCTCACTTGGCTTTTCCACTCAAGCCTGAGGCCACAGCTCCATGTCCAGCTTCTCGGTGGTGAACCTCATGGTAAGGAGGGTGGCTAGCACTTGTGGGCCCCCCTCCCCACTGTGCCAGGTGGGGAGAGGACCTGCCCCCTCACGTGGCTGGCACAGGGAGGTTGAGACGCTCTCGGTGGTCACACAGCACCCAGTCCCGCAGGCAGGCACCTGGAACCCGGCCCGCAGGCGGGAGACCCACGCGGCCCTTTCCTGTGTTCTCAGGTGTCCCCGTGGGATGTGGGCCGCGGCGGCGGCCCCCGGGGCAGTGAGCAGCCCCTCCGCACGCTGTCGCCAGGGGCTGCCGGACCCCGGAGGAGCCAGAGCCTCTGCCAGGACCAGCGGGCTGTGCTGTGCGTGGTGAGTGGTGCCCGCGGGCGCGTGGCCGTGGGCTCGAAAAATCCTGGCGTCCTGGGGCCGGGGGAGGGTGGGCAGGCCCGTGGGACGGGGTGGGGGACCTGGCGGCGCTCTGGGGGGAATGCCACCCCAGCCGTGGGCAGGACCTGCAGCTCTGCAGCCTGAAGGTTCTGGGTTCGAATCCTGGGCCTGGTTGTTTCTGCGTCTTGGAGATTCTGCGCTGAGCCCGCGGACGCGGCTCCTGGCTTGGGCTGTGTGGTGGGCCTGGCACGGGGGGCGGGGTGGTGGTGAGATCACCGTGGGCCTGGTTCTTCAGGGCTCCGCGTGGCGCGTGGGGGGCCGTTTCCCGGGCAGCCCCTGGCCTTCATGTGCTCAGCTGTGAGGGGCGATCGTGTCCACAGCGCTGACCAACGTGGCGGGGGCCGGGGGGCTCGGCGTGGTCCCCCACACCCCCAGCGGCTTCTCCCCACGTTGCGGTTATTGCCTGGTTGTGGTGTGGTGTCCGGTCCCCACTGGCCTCTGGCTTGGCTCTCGCCGGGGGGCCAGGCTTGATGGTTGGTTTCTAGGAAGCGAGGCTCCTGGGGGTTGGGGTGAGGCCAGGCCGGCCACGTCTGTGACCTCCGGGTGGTGTTGGATGGAGCCTTCCGTCCTGTGCCCTTCCAGCTCCGCTGCCTCAGTTTCCTGCCCCTGGCCTGTCCTCGGAGCCCCAGGCCGGCCCTTCTCTGACGGTGCTTGAGCTTTACTGTGAAGGAAAAGGTCAGGGGGAGCGAGTCCTCCAGGCCCTGGCTCCTCCCCCTGCCACTCAGGGGCCCGGGGAGGCGGGGCTTGCCGTGGCCCCTCCCCCAGGCCCCAGAGCCCCGCCCCTTTCCTGAGCTCCTGGGAGGCTGGGACTCCTGCCTGCAGTCCCGGGGGCGGCCACGAGGGGCGCTCTTCCCTGCGCCTGCAACGCTCCTCCAGGGGCTTAAGAGAGGTGGGTTCGAATCCCAGCTCTGCCATGGGGCAGGCAGGCACCTAGCGGGGCTCCTGGAGACGCAGTTTCTCCTTCCACAAGGTGGAAGTGGTGCGTGTGGGAGCTGAGCGAGGTCCCCTGGTGGTGAATGCTCAGTGCTGCAGCTTCGTGGGTGCATTTGCTTCCGGTCCCTGCCCCTCCCCCTCCT